CGATCGAAAAACAACGTACAGCTAAACCCAAAAACTTCTCCTAACTATCTTTCCTTATACAGTCTAATTATATGGAATGTTGTAGCGGATTACTACGATAGAGGATTTCCCACGAGCGTTATCGTTGCTTTTTCTTTTTCTCACTTTGCTTGCCACTTAGCTCGAGCGTCGCTGATCTAACAAAAAAGTAAGTAACAAACTTTCTAGTTCAAATAAAGTTAAACCTCACAAACTAGCTGACAATGATCACGATAGAATACCTTGAAATAGGCGTCAATTTATTTTTAGGATATTCTATAATATCTTCAGTTAGTTCAATGAAAGTTTTACACCAATTTACTATTATAAACATGTCCTAAACACCATCGAAGCAGACGCACAAGTACACATAACCCAACAATAGGTTAGAATGACAATGTCAGGTATTAAATTATGATCAGGTGGTATTTTTGTGATAGTACCTACATGTGCGTACCGTTTACCAATTGCACAGATCATAGCACGACAGGGCCAACACTTCGAAGAACAACGTAAAATTCTTACAGGTATAAATGAATACAAGACATCTGTGGGCGTGTGAAGATGTTATTTTCGAAAATCTCGATGGCGTCAAAAAGGCAAATAAATCCATAATTGACGATTTAATCTAACAATCTGAAAAAAAAAAAAAAAAAAACTAAACAGGCTGTCTAATTTTTTTTTAGTGCCGATAGATTGGACCTAGCTTACACGGTGTTCCTGTACACTCGGGAAATTTCCTCCAAAATCAAATAAATTTGTTAACGGGGATTATAGATATTTTTAGGATAAGCGACGTATTCCGAATCGGGCAGATTTGTCTAGTCGTTAGAACAATATTCATGCTAATACTAATTAATATCTTTAAACATTTTCAGCCCATTTGATTTTGTCAAATATCCGGGGACAACAACATTACGTACTACTGTTTGGGGGAAAATTCTGTACCCGTAATAGCCACATGGGAGACGCCATATTGGATAGGGTCTCCATTACGCCTAGGAGGATTTACGATTGTGGTTTTAAGGACCTCGTTAGGACCCGTTTGGGAAACTGTAGAGCGACGTGTAGACATTGTTGTTTTATGAGGACGTTTGGCAGCTCGGACACAGTTAATTAATTTGGCATAAGTGATGCAGTTGGGATTCACTCGCACAACTACCGAAGGGACCCGCGCTAAGACGCCAATCACATGAAGCTCGCACTCAACGCATATCAGTACATTTGTTCTAAATAGAGTTAACCGCTTTACTGGATTTACAGACACGCTGAGTACGATACGAAATGATGGTTTGTATGTTTTATAAGAAATCCTTGTGGTTTTACATATACAAGATTGTTGTCTTGAGTTCCAGTAGAAAAGTCTTAGAATAGCCGAGATAGCTGCATGATTAAGGCTAAATGAAGCACTCATAAACGTACATACAACCTATAAGGCGATACACTATGATTCTACAATAATAGGTCACGTTTGCGACCTTGACCCTAGTACAGTTACTCCAATTTAGCAGGAATATCCTTGTTTGTTTCAAAAAAGCAAATATCCTTATTATCGATAGTAGCAGGAATATCCTTGTTTGTTTCAAAAAAGCAAATATCCTTATTATCGATAGTAGCAGGATAGTTCTACTGTAGTACGTAAACTTCCCCCCCCCTCCCCCCGCCGAGATAGCCTTCTCTAATATACGTATATAATGCCCAGTGTCAGTGGATTCGATAGGATCTTAAAGATAACTATAAAAATCAGAAATGATTTCTGATAATCTGAAATGATGTAGGGCATGATCGAATGGCACCTCTAGAAACGTGTATCAAAATGTTGCAAAAGCATTTTGCGGCTACTAGTCAGACATCTAACTTTAGGACACAGAGACTTTCATCAGCTACCTCCTTAGCACTTGCTGCCCAGTGGAAGTGCCTCCCAGCCATCGTTCCTGCGTTACATTCCCTTAGCAGTTCAGCAATACAGATATGCACGGACACGCTTTCTATATTGAGTACAACGCCCACACATAGTTAGCATTAGCACAATCAAACAATGGCGTCTTTATTATAATTATTATTGTTTCTTTCTCCGTACAACAGAGAGCTCCATTCCTTGTTCACATATGTTCCAATTGATTTGTGTAGGAGGCCGGATCATCGATCCATGCACGTCATCTGTTAGATATCGGAGGGGATGCCCTACCTATTCATGGCCGAAGGCCGGTAGGCTCGGCCTTCAGTCGACGTGCTGGCCGAGACTGACGCGTTGGTCCTGCTTCCGAATGGTTGTTAGTGTGGGTCGGCCCGTCCAACTCGAGCCAGGTACATCGCTAAGATGTCAACGGGAAATCGATTTGAGCCTAAAGTGAAAAATGAATCTAACTATCATTAGTATTACTACTGAATTTATTAATTTCGTTGTTATTTATATGCTAAGATGAATAGCTACTGGAAAAGAACGTTGAGGTTTGTGAGGTCGGCCAATACTGCTTACACAATTTTCTGTCTATAACGATCAAGAAGGTCATCATGAAGCCGTAGAATGACACGGTAGTTATTGGCCGCGAAATGGAGCTTATAGATAATATTTAACGCCGCGCGGATATTACGATAGCTGCGGTAATTCAGAGCGTGTGTTAGATGATGGCCATTGACACAAACTCTTACATAGCTGTTACGAGTACTTCGGATGAAGGAACCACCTCGCCTTTTGGTCAGTTCGGAATACATCTATATCTATTTAAATTAGATAAAAAAAAAAAAAAAAAAAAAGCTGTTTGTTCTGCTTTGTTGATTGACGTTACGTACTGTTCCCACTGGAAAGCAAGGGAATTATATAATAGCCTCTGAGATAGTTGTTTTAGCTTAGAATCATTGTCACTGTTTTTCATTCTGAAAATTTAACCACATAACAAAACGTAAAATATAATGTTTAAGGGTCTCTTTTAGATCTGTAGGATAGTTTCGCTATAAATTCATTCCCTATGTTAATAGCTTGTTTTTTTTTTGTTTTGGCGCTAATTTACTAACTTTACCATTACTATTGCGAGACGTCTTGTTGGCCGGAGGATGATCTCTGAGAAGAATAACTGATCCAATCCTTCGGACATCCTTTGGAGAGGACGTACGTATACGATTTTAACAAAGCCCAACTGAATATCCGGGCCAAAATAATATGCTTCATTCATTTTGATATACAGATGTGGCGGCTAAAGATTACCACGTGTCTGACCCTTCGTGAATATTCTTCACCCACCACGAGCAGAGACTTGTATTGTGACGTTCCCATTTCGGTCGTTGAAATAACCATTCAGCTGCAGTACAATCGTAAACGATAGCTATAGAACGTTACATATATGCTTTGGGCTATGTCAAAATACGAGTTAGTCAAAGTAACTCTGCCTTTTTTTTTTTTTTATTTTTTGTTTATTAATTGGAACAGAGGAAACACCCGTACACCGTTCTCGCTAGAGATTTACGGTATGTCTAGCTACAAATAAAGTATTATCTTTTCTTTTTTTTTTAAGACATTTCGCTAGCCTACGACAACCCGTTTGGGAGAAGTGTACCGCAATGCGTGTACTCTCCTTGAGGCAGGACCTACAGCGACAAACAACCTTGGAATTATATGGCATAGAGGAAACTTCGGTACATCTGATGCCTGCAAGCCGTATTATATCACGGTTCTCACAGACTCAGAAAACTAATAACTATACCGATACGTTTACGAGAAAGTCGACTGACAAACCACGGTACATGACAGACTTTAGTACGAGCCGAGCTAATCGTATGGCAGGCCATCTGTATCGCTGCAAGCCTTAATGGATACGTAAATATTACAAAATACAGTATATATAGACAGTGATTAACTCGACTACGTGTTTCGTAAGATTATGCGGCTGATCTAGTATATCATATATAATTTTAGAAAAAGCCGTACGCGTCTATTTGCTTTATCAAGACGGCTTATTAAATTAGAATACCAGCCTAGCATATTGCTACTGCTTCCACAAGTAGCTATCGATGAATTGGTACCATTCGAATTCTACTGACGCAAAGCCTATAAAAGGGCGGGCGGGGGGGGTCTCTAACAACTCCTTTGCTGCCACTTTAGCTTCGAATCGATCTAAACAGGGATCGCATCAAATAAAACTGGATACGTATATATTTATAATCCGCATGCGCCTCTCGGCCCAAGACAGCTAGAAAAGTATGGTTATCTTGCCAGATTTGTTTATCGTTCTAGTTAGTCCACGACTGCTATTCAGCCTTCATCCACGAGACAAGTTGTCCAGTAACTGCTATCTCCAGAATTTCTGGGAGAGAACCGTGTTCGCTAAAACAGGCAGGAACACAGACAAGCTTACACATGTTTGGTGTTTAAGTATATATGCCCCGCTTCACTCTGTGTCCCGTGCTTCATTCTGGGCCGCCTATTGTTTTCAACAGCGAGCGATGCCTGGAAGGCCTTTAAAGCTGCCCACACACACCTTTGACAACTCGAACATAAACCTTGGGAACGGTGGCAGCAGCGCTAAAACCGAAAAGGATCGTATTTGCAATACCTGAAACAATGAGAGAACACCAAACCTCCGCTGTCCGACGGTTGTTTGTGCTTGCGTATTGTTTACGAGGATGCCAGTGTACATTAAACACAGGCAGCTGCCGTCGCGTCGACCTGCTAAATACGAAGTAGGTCCACGGATCTTCGCGGGCTGCTCTTATTGATCGCCTCTGCAAAGACAAGAACAGTGAGGAGGCCTGTTTACAAGATGCATGTTTTCAATGCCAGTTCCCGTCGCAAGCCGCGCCACTAACTTATAAGCTATTGTCGTCGTCGCTGCCGTCATCATCTCTTCCCCAATCCTATACATCCCACCCGTTCTGCGTTGGCGTTCCAGCTGCTGTCTATATAAACCAGCGCCTTTCCCCTTCTAGTGGCGACTCTCTCCACCGGCTGAGACCCTCACTCGCCGGCGAGCCGATGATCGCGAACCGTCGACCGCGTGCGACGGAAAGCGAACTGTCAGAGTATCCCCAGATCGGTACTGACCGAACGTTTGTAAGCAACACTCAAAAAAGTTCATAGTGTGTGTCGTTTCATCCTAACAACAGCAAAAAAAAAAAAAATCTGCCGTCTGCACGAACCCAGTGACAGAGACATCGCATACATACCTATCATTATAATCATATATTGTTGCTATCATTGATGCGTATCAGTGCATGGCGACGGATTCGCTTTCAGTGTTACCGGTGCTCCGGCAGCCAGGACGGCGCCTATTAAAAGCCATCAGCGCCATCGAACGGTCCTTAGAAGATCGCCTCTACAGCAGCCCTATTACATTAGCAACAACAACAACAACAACAACAGCAACAACAAGTACGATTACCACTTCCCAACAACAGGACGACTGATTATTACGTGCTCACACAGGGTAAAAGAAGGGTAAAGATTCTAACCTGCGTCGATGGTTTCGTGTTTTGCCGAAATTAATAAACCAATTTTTTCGTCGTTTCTCTCCGCAGTGGCAAAAGTAAAGTGAGCTTATAAATGTGCGTATTTTTTGGAGTGAGTGTTTCGTACGAAACCGATAGCGGCTACTTAAATGTGCTCATTTCAGATTCAGGATTCGTAGCTGCTTTATGATCGGGTAAAACAAAGCGGTTAGATTGATGTCGGAGTTCGTTGAGTATATGTGAAGGTGTTGTTACTGCTCGTGTTCTTACTGTGCTATTTGTTACCGCTGCCCTCGTAGAATTGCTGAAGTGGCCGCGCAGTGTCGTTCAATAGCTAACAGACGGTGGTGAGTCGTGTTGATGTATAGTAGACGTCAACCGGAGAGTGCTCTCTGCGGCGGGCACGTCAACCACAGAACAACCCCGGTGTCGAGCATGTGCTTGTAACAACTTGTGGACGCAACAAACAACAAAGGATTACATAACAAACAACTATAACAAAGAAAACGACGATAATAACAAGTAAAATATTGTCATAACATCGAAATACGTATCACGGCAACAGGATGTGGATAACAATCAGTCTCGTCATAGCAATATCCATACTGCTAACAGGTACGCAAGACATGCTAATAGCTATAGAACAAAACGTTAGAGTATTGACGATGCCGGTAAGTGTTTGACGTAGGGAACCTAAATCGAGTTCAGTTACGAGCATAGTAATTAATTAAACTTTCATACCCCAGGAAGCTTGTGGGGTCGATGACAGATTGAGGGTCGGACATGTCAACAGAACGCGAAAATGACGCAACAATGGAAAACTTAAACGAAATCGCATACGTAACGAGCCATTGAATCAAGGCAGGATTGGGTAGACTATGTGCAGCTAGTTACATCGAGACGTGCATCTATGCATGCATTTCAATGGGTACGTGCAGACAGCTACAGGTCTGTTTCATAAATTCACATTTAAGCTAACAGGATCTAGTTTGGCGTTATTTGAAATCTGCAACATAAAAATCAGGTCCGAAAGCTGCTGCTAGAAACTTCAGCTCGATCTTGCAATCGTCTTGGCGCGTTCAGCAAAAGACAAAGTGGTTTAAGCCAAAAACGATTACATATCCAGATTGTTGGTTAGGACATACGCAAACGCCAGTAACAACTGGATTCCGTTTGACGCGTTGGCATCGCTTACATCATCCAAAAGCGATGGGACGGCTCAGCTAGGTAATCTTTAACCGCACTTACAAATTAGCATTGCCAAGACAGTGTGTTTTTTTCATTTAATAGCCTTGTCGTTTTACGGATGAAACTTTTTACAAATGACAGAAATCTGATAAAACAACACTTTGACAAAATGTTTTAGTTGATTAGACGCGTAGCATGGCCGAAGGTCAACACGAGCAAATTGAGCCTCTGACAAACAAGACATCAGTTAGCAAAAGAGTATAATAAACGGATTTCACACACATGTATATATGTTTTTTCTTTCACCCTTATTTATCTATTCTTATTATCAGTTGGTTATAAACAATCGTCGCCAGCGTGCTGATGAAACAAGCATTTATCGAGGGAACTAACGGTATAATTGCGTGGCCAGATGGGAGAAGAGTGGCCGAACTACGGAGCCAGCCAGGCCACCGCTGCTGCGCTGGCGAGTTGGCCGTCGCCGACAAACTCAGCGGCGGAACTACAAGTATATATATGTACGCAGACATAGGAGTACACTGGTAACCGGCGAGTCATTCACACTCATAGTCGTGCTCGCGGCCGTACTAATCCCAAATAGAATTTCTATAGCAATGGCAGCAGCGCCCGGTGCTGGGGTACCTGTTCCGAGTACAGCTTCACCGTACAAACAAAACTAATGACGCGGCATCGGATCATCTCAATGCACGCGATTTGGCGGTTCGGCCTATCTGTGGTAACGTATGCTGCTAGTCCGAAGAAAAAAAGAAGTGTGACATGGGTAGGGCACATTGAACACTGTAGGCCCCACTAGACATCTGCTCATCTGTTGCAAAGGTGGACACTTATTCCAGGTAAAATTTGCTTTCGTGCGGCGTCAGTGCGTGTGTCTCTGGGAACTGGTTTCATTGGAAGTCAGCTCGTACGCATTTCTGGTAATCATTTGCTAAAGCTTGAATTGATTGGCGAATCTTCATTGATAAATGCTTGTCTGATTGAAAAATAAACGAAAAGCTGTTATACAAGGCCTTGTTAAGGTTGCGCATTGAAAATAAGGACGAGTCTTATTTTCCTAAAAATGCACGTGAATAGTCAAACATTAATGGCCATCTTGGGCGCCTAAAAACGTTACTAATGATGTGCTACTACTCCGAGAATTTTCGACAACGTGCAACGATGCTTTGGGCAGTGGCAAAGCACCGCGTAAACTTTTTTTCTTGATACCAATTCTAACTATGCAGTATTTAGTAGCTTGACAAAAAAGAAAAGGCAGCGGGAGTGAGGCACAGGTGCAAGGAAAACCTAATGACGAGGCGAAGATGGACTCTTGGATTGTAGGAAAGTGCATTGCAGCGACCAGTCGGGCCCTAATTCCCTTTTCAGTAGATCAGGATATACGGTTCGGCTTGCTAGATTCTCCTCCAGCGTCCGCTTGCACCATCAAAGTACAACTTACGCGCGCACGGCTGTCCTGGGTCTCTTTAATGTCAGAAGGCACGTAACACGGGAGGTTGGCGAATTGCCTCTATCAACTTTGCTACTGCTGTTGGCCAACTGTAGTGGTCCTATACTTTACGAAGACCTCATCGGGCTTTCGATAAGTGCCTATAAAAACTTCTGCCATCACTGCCAACGCGACCAGTGCTCCCGCCGACCACCGACTGCTATAGCGACGAACCTTGTCTCGGAATAGGCCTGCATCATAACTACAGGCCCCGACCTAGTAGTGGTTTCGTCCTCTGCCCACCAGCAGACTTCTATATGTAGCTACAAGTTTTGTTTTTGGCTTATTTTGCACATCGACTTTTTCTCTCTGCTGACCGTCGCTTTAATAGTATTACTTGCGTGACCAAGCAAAATTTTGCTTTGCTCACTGGACAGAAAAAGGATGCCTATCTCAGGAACCAATCGACGGCTGCGAGCCTTAAGGAGATATAGAAGAAGCCCCTATTGCTGGCGTCCTGCCTCGATGCCGCCTCGTTCATTCTTCCCTGTTTTTGCTGGTGGTGATGGCGGACGTAACCTCGAAGTGCGCTCTTCCAAGCGAATTTAGTGGTAAAGGTGGGGGAGTTATCTTTTTCTAGCCATCATCATTTTTCCATAACTTTCTCTCTCTCTCTCTCTCTCTTAACGTGCCCTTCTTTAAAAAGGCACGGCCTTTGTCCTTTGCGTATTTCACTCCATCTTCTTAAAAACGCATCTATTTCATCGTCGTCGACGTCATTGTCGGCAAACTGAAAGTTGCAATTTGCTTTCAGGTTTTGTTCGTTCTTGTATCGGCATCAAAAGTAGCTTAACTTCGATTGGGACAATGTCGTTGCTGTTTCTCATACTGCCTGTGCTGTTGCTTTTTGATGGATCGTGGAGACGAAAAGCAAGTGAACGGAGTGTCTGGACAGATCATCAAACTTGTCGATGTGAAGTTCTATGCCACTCTTTCTAGCCTCTGATAGATGACCAGACGAGCGGCGACAGCAGCAGCAGCAGCATTGGTCGTAACGAAGAATTCCAAGCAGGACAAATGGAAGTCCTGAGAGGCAACGAGTGTTGGGTACCACATAGAAAGCCGCAAATCAAGCCTCAGGCCCTCGTTCAGGCTCTTAACGATTCGAGTAAGTGAGTAAGGAAAGTGGATTCGATCCTGACTCGATCGAACAGAAGCGATGCAAGCTAAGGTACAGCAAGCGGGCGGAATACAGGCCTGCCAGACTCTGCGAAACAGCGCTCGAAGCTAAGTCGATTCTTCCAGTCGCGACTCGACCTCTTCCTTCTACGCCCCAGTTACGGCCTCCGCCTTCCCGTTCGTGCTTGTTCATCCGGGTCCGAGTACTTTCAAAATGATGGAACAGTATCTTAACGACATGGTGGTTTATCTGTCACCCTGTTCGCAGATTTGCTAGTAAAATTTGTACCGTTTATTAGATTCGCGTGTAGTCTGCGGTATAGATATATTTGTTCGATTCTTATACACATGTAAATAAATGAAGCGCGGTCGAATTTTTTTTCTTCACCTTGTTCTAAAGATTACAATGTTTTCGTTTACTGAAGGCTGACTGAAGAACATACTGAATGTCCACTAAATGATTCATTTTTGAGTTGACCTGTACAATGTCGTTGGTGTAATCGTGCGTAATTTACTTGTATAATAAAAAACAAAAAAAAAAAAAAATGATAATAGTAATAATCCAGATAAAATAAGTGTTTAATACTCTTTCACACAACAGTACAATTCACTCGATAGCTCAGCGCGTTCAGTCTGCCTCATTTCGAGAAAACAGAGCATGCTTCTCTATCAAACAACAAATACGATCAAAGCGGTTTGCGTTACGCAAACGCACGTAGTAAGTTTTAGTGACATATGTATACGGGTTGATTTCCATTAAGGCAAAGGAAATAATAGGCGCCCTTTTAGCTTCTTCCGGCATCTTCTTGTCGCAAGTAGTCACACGATACTATGCAACGTGTATTAACTAATACGGGACTAGGAGGAGTGCTCGTTTAATGCATAGTATACGCGTGTATGGATGGAAAGGCGACCAGTGTAAGCTGCTCTAAGGGACACATGAATTGGCAGGCCTCTCGGCAGACTGGCAGGCTAGCTAGCTTTGAGCATTGAATTGTGGTGGCCAGCATTCCCAACTGGTTGCACTGGCTGCGGTGTCTAAGGAAACGGTTGTGATTCACACGAGCACGACAGGCCAAGAATGCGCCTGAGGCAGGCAATAGGTAGGACATTGCTCCTCCCTCCCTCCCTCCCTTCTTCCCCCTTTCTCTCTCTCTCTCTCTCTCTCGCTATATATATATATATATATATATATATATATATATATCGTTCTGTCCGTATGCTAATGTGCCAATCGGCAGACCAGTCAGCAGTCCTATGGCTTAGTGCAGTCCCTTTTTTCCCTTGCGGTGCCTTCTTACCGAATCCATCGGTCTAGTCAGTCATTCAGTCGGTCGCTCGGTCGGTGACAGGTAGTCGCTGTCTGCGGCGCTACCGCCAAATCGTTGTTACGGCTAGTCCTCATCACTTCGTTCAACTCACGTTCACGCTATAACTGAGAATCGGTAGATCTTCGAGCTACTGTTGCTGCTATACTGTACTACCTTGTAGTGAGTGCGTAGCTCTCAGCAGTCATGACTGCTGACGTTGTGTCCCATTTCGCTGCCATATTCGAAACCTCTACATGGTTTGTCCGCGGCAACGAAGCGTCCGTATAGCGGCTCTGTCGCAAAGATCCGCCCCATCGACTGCTATCCGCCAGCAAACGGACATTTATAATGACAGGTTGCATCCGTCGGAATATTGATATCCCAGTGGTCTGTTGTTATAAGCCTAACCCCTTTCACCTATAGACCCTACCGCCTCTACGTAAATAAGGAGACGAGAGATGGGCAGACATATGGGCGTAGATATGCTCTTACTA